CAGAGGGTCAAAGTTCCTCGCTACACACTAAGATTGGAACCAATACCATTTGTAGAAGTAGGTCTTGCGAGTGATTAGGCACCTGCTGTTTATCAACTCATGTCTCTCTGCCTGAGAGCAGGTCATCTCTGGCGGTTGGAGCCAGCTAGGAGCCATGCCGTCAGGTGCATGCGGTCGATATCCGGATGAACCATCGCACCGTGCTGTTGAGAGAGTAAATTGGACAGCCTTGGTAGTCGTCATGGCTGAGCCATGAACATTCTCGACAATTGAGTCAGCCAAGTCTGTTGGGGCCAAAAGGGAGCTATGAAAATCACTGTTGCGCCCTCCAATGTTATCTTCTCCAGCGCCCTTGGAATGAGAGGAAGCGGAGGAAAAGTGTAGAGCAAATGGTGACAACTCCAGTCGAGTAGGAAGGTATCCCCCAAGGAATTCATGCCGACGCCCGCTTGCGAGCAATAACGATGACACTTTCTGTTGTGATGGGTGGCAAAGAAGTCTATACTCGGGAACTCCCAGAGATGGAAAAGGTTGCGAACAACTTCCCACACAACAACCCGTTGTGTGACTCCCATTCGTGTTGGGGAAGAAAGGGGTGGCAAAGAAGTCTATACTCGGGAACTCCCAGAGATGGAAAAGGTTGCGAACAACTTCCCACACAACAACCCGTTGTGTGACTCCCCGGGAAGGTATGGAAGAAAGTGTCTGCTGAGGGTGTCGGCGATGACATTGTCCATGCCGGGAAGGTATGATGCAGTCAGGGTTATACCGTGCCCAATTGCCCAGTTCCACAGACATATAGCCTCCGCGCAAAGGGGGCATGAGCATGCACTGCCTTGACTGTTGATATAATAAACCGTGCATATATTGTCGGTGAGAACGTGAACCGTAAGACCTCGGATCATGTGGAGGAAGTGCCTGCAGGCATTGAGTACAGCTCTCAACTCAAGGAAGTTTATGTGCGGAGTCGACGTAGGTCCAGGATAGGTCTCCAACCACCTGACTTCTTCTGGGTGAAGAAGTACAGAGAGGAAAAGCCTCTCCCTCAGAACAGAATGGGTACCCTCTCCACTGCCCCTATGGTAAGTAGTCGAGAAATCTCTTGATGTAGAAGAGTCTCATGAGAGGGGTCCCTGAAAAGGGATGGGGAGGGTGGGAGTGGGGAGGGATTGGGTTGAAAGGAATGGCATATCCTGAAGAGACTATGTCGTTGACCCAGTGGTCAGTGGAAATCAGAGACCAACTGTGTTGATAAGGCCTCAGCCGATGATGGAATAAAGCTTGCGGATTGTATAGAGCCTCCATCAAAGGGGTGATGCGCAGTCCCTCAACCGACATGTCAACTTTGCTGCCGCCCCTACTGGTGGCTGGGCACCTTGTTAGGTTGTTGTCTTCATTTCTGTTGGCGTTGTTTTGGTCTCTGCTGCTCGTATGGTTTGGTACAGAATGTCGCGTAAGAGAAAAGTCTCTGTTTGTTATTGGGCATATATCTCTTGTACTTATATGGAGGCGTGTACATCCCCAGCATTCTCAACGTCATGCAGGAGTCTTTGCCTGAGTGGAACACCTGATAGGTGGATTGAGCAAACAGAGACTGATGATCAAAAGGTAAGTCTTCTACCTTGTTTAGTAGATCTTTAGGGGCAGCAGCTTGATGTAACCAGGACGCACAACGCATGACTACAGCAGAAGCTGTGGCTCTAGCTGCTGCATTGGCTGTGTCCAGAGAAATCTTCAACGCTGTTTGAGTTATTGCGTAGCCCTCCTGTATTACTACCTTTAAGATTTGATGCTTAGAGTCCGGTAAATGTTCTAGAAGAGGGACTAATTTTGAATAATTGTCAAAATCATGATTTGCGAGGGGAGATGCATAATTACACATTCAGAGAGCTGAGGTGGCAGAAGAGTATACTTTCCTGCCTAAAATGTCCAAGCGTTTAGCCTCTTTGTCGCTTTTGGTGTTTTTAGTTTGCGTCGTCTTGGATCTCTGTTGTGCGGCATCCATGAGGAGACAATTAGACTGGGAGTGAGTGAACAAGAAGTCTGTACCCTTCTGATTTATAAAATATTTTTTATCCGACCTTTTATTGGTTGGTAAGGAAGCGGATGGAGTCTGCCAGATATCACTGGCAATCTCCAAAATAGCCTCATCGAAGGGGAGTGCCAGAATCGACTTTTGTGAAGGTTGTAAGTTCTTCAGCAAAGGGTGTTGTTTTTGCTGTACATCTGTACTTTGAATGCCCTGAAATTGAGCAACCCTCTTAAAGAGCTCTTGAAATTGCTTATGGTCTTCCGTGGGAGATAGCTCTCCAGGGAAGACTGCGTTGTCCGGTGATGATGATGAATGGTTGGCTGGAGAATCAGGGCTCCGTGGTTTCCTGTTCGGGGTGTGATTATCCTCATGTTCACTGTGGTTAGAAACTGAGGTAATGTCCTCCGCAGGTGTTAATGGAGCTGAAGGAGAGGGTACATGAAGTGGAGACACTGGGCAACTGGACTGTGGAGATCATGAACGCGGATCTTCTCCTTGCCCCACAGTTCGAGGAGGGATGCGGGTATCGCCTACTATGGGAGGAAAGATGGTTGTCATAATAATGGTCAGATCTCTGATGGTGAGTTGGGGAACGTCTTGGCGCGGGTATCGCCTACTAAGGGAGGAAAGATGATTGTCATAATAATGGTCACATCTCTGATGGTGAGTTGGGGAACGTCTTGGAGAGTATCCTATGGATGCCTTGTATCGACGTGAATATCCTGCGGGTCCTTGAGGATCTTGGTGAAATAGATCTATCAGAATAACAAGATGGAGATCGAGAATAGTGAGAATAGTGACGTCGGTAATAACGCCATGATGGTGAACGACGAGGTGACCTATGGTAATGATCTCTGGTGGAGGCATAATGAGGAGCGTGATGGTTGCCCAAGCCAGTGACCAGGGTCCCAGAGAGAACACAGCTCCGTTTGGTGTGGGGGAAGGTGTCTGAACACATTGTGATTTATGTTGTGCCTTAGCTGGCACCAAAGAGTTAAGAGGGGAAGACGGTGCCGTTTGAAGTGGAATGGCCAGCAATGAAACAGCCCCAATAGAACAGCTGCTATGCGGGTGAATCAGTGGTGCCGCAGGAGCTGACAGCTGTACTGGTGCTGGAGGAGGCTGTGCCAGTGGAGAGAGCTGCGTGGTGCCAATGCTTGCCTGTGGTGCTGGTGCTGGTGCTGTTGCTTGCGTCACCATGGAGAGTGTGACTACAGCTGCCGGGACCGCAGCTATAGGCG